AAATGTCTGCTCATTACTTATTTGTCTCTTTGTGAGCAGTGTGGTAAATCAGCAGTGGGGTGGGGGTGGGGGTGGGGGCCCATCAACTATGCCAACCCAGCATCCAGAACAGTAGATGACAGGTCCACTTTAAATATGGAGAAACGTGCTTTACTGGAAAGCGACCATGGCGATATTTTGTTTTCTTTATAAAAGTGATTCCATTCTGTGTGTTCCAGGACTGATCATATTAAACGCCTGGTACGGTAAATTTGTTACGGATAATAGCAGGAGGAAGGAGAAAGTGAAGGTGATCGATGTGACTGTCCCCTTGCAATGTTTGGTGAAAGACTCCAAGTTAATCCTCACAGAAGCTTCAAAGGTGAGCGGACCTCAACCCAATTCTACCACATCGGGGCTACAAGGACCCCACTGTCTGATCTTCAAGTTGTGAGGTGTGTAGGAACACTTCCTGGCCAATGTGGGAACATGTTTGTGTCATTGTTCTAAGTTCACACACACGGCTGTATCGAGCTATTGTGTTAGGGCCCCAAGTGTCACTCCGTCATTGTTCTAAGTTCACACACACGGCTGTATCGAGCTATTGTGTTAGGGCCCCAAGTGTCACTCCGTCATTGTGCAGCTGGAGTTACTAAAAGTGCTGGTGATACCTGAGGGTCGCGCACAATGAAAAACTGTCATAAGTCCACAATAGAAACATCCACAAAATTGTTTTCCTCACTATGTCCCGAGTTACTTAGATTTTTAAGTTCCTGTAGCCCATCACTCCGTATCTCTGTGATACTGCCCAAAACTTCACAACAGGGGGCAAGACAGTGTTTGTAGCGTTGGCATCCTTGCACACCAACACTACCTTTCCCATTGTGCCTTGTATCCACAAAGTGCATGCATGCCCTCTCTGTTTCCAAGCTTCCAGCTGCCTATTTGTTCTGATGCATGGAGCGCCAGCACTACCCTTGTGCTCCAATGGTCCCTACAAGGCAACATAGGCACCCTATAGATGGAAATGAGGGGACGGGACATTTTTATGTTAAGTTTAAAGTAATGGCAGGCTACAATGGAAAACCAAACTGGAAGCGATATAAGAGATGAGGTGTTACAATATTTATTGCTGCCAGAGGAGGGTATAATAACACTTTTTTGGGTGGGGGGGTTTTGCTGCCTGTATTTCATTGGGAGATTTCCTTTCACTTCCTCTCCCCTAGACACAACGGGAAGGGAGAGAAAATCTCTCCAAAGTAATAGAAACACCCTCCTTGTCACTGCAGCAAGTGTCTTCATTGGAACATTTTTACCTATTCTGGTGGTGACTCAAAATTCATCACTTGGTGGCGATGGTTACTCTAACATTTAGAATGAATAAATCTCCTCTGCCAGGAGCTGAAGGAAAGACCCATGTAAGCTATGAGTCATGGGAGTAGCTTACACATGACTATAGACTATATCTCACTATAGACCATGTTGCAACACTGATTGGCCCAGTGCTGTCACATGGATGAGTCACATGTCACTCCATACCCAGAAGTACCAGATGGGTCCTTTGGCTCCCAGAGCTGCAGAGGAGCAAATTAGTGGACCAGGTAAAGCAAACCGGTTATTTTGCCCATTCGCACAAGATTCGGGTTTGTTTTAAAGAAGAACTCCAGGAAAACATTTTATTTAACCCTTTCAGTGGGGCTACCGAAGCACTTCAAGTGTTAACTGCTTGTCTAGGTACTTAAAAAAAAAAAATGTTACACTCACCCGAACTGCCAAGCTGACTCCCTGCTTCTCAGGTCACTGAAGTGTGTCTCCTCCGCTGCACGGATGGATTATTCCTCAGCATGCTCATGTCTGTACACTTGTATAACCGTGATCACACAAGGATTCTTTGACCACTGCAGCAGAGGGGGTGGGAGGCTTTATGGACCAGTCTAAGAATAAGCCGACTCAAATGATCGGGTGAGTATCGCTTTTTTTTGGGGGCGCCTAGACACAAACGAGTTGGAGGAAGTGGCCCCACTGCAAGGGTTAATATTGTTTTTCCTGGAGTTCATCTTTAAATGTCTTTTTTTTCACAGGATCCCCAAATTTCAAACTGTAATGGTTATGAACCCCCTTCCCAGTGTCATGATTTTAGGGCAATCTTTTACCAGCGTGCTATGTGATCCAGCTTTGCATCTGTTTTATGCCTACAATTCCTGACTGACCGTATTCATGTCACCTGCAGGCTGGACTGCCCGGTTTCTATGACCCATGTGTTGGGGAAGATAAAAGCTTGAAGATCCTCTACCAGTTCAGAGGAGTGCTCCATCAAGTCATGTCCGCAGACAATGAGGCACTAAGGATACCAAAGCAATGTGAGTCATCTCCTAATATGACATTTCCCAGCAAGCCCGAGGCCAGGACCACTTCCTAGATGTTTGTAGACTCCTTTTATGTATAGATTTAGAAGGTGTGTGTGTGTGTGTGTGTGTGTGTACAGTAATCCCATTAAAGAACATGGCAGATTGCCTCTAGAAACCCTGTTAGTTCAGAGTGTTTGTTGGCACACAGCAGGTAGGTTGGTATGGAACAGCCTGGTGGTCTAATGGTGCTGGTTGTGACTAGGGATGCACCGATACCGAGTATTTGGGTGAGTACTCGCCCAAATGCTCCAATACCTTCCCCGATACCATAACTTCCAGTCAGAGGAAGATTCCATTATACCTTCCTGTATTTACCCGAGCGGCCCCTCTGTGGGGGAGAGGTGCTGCCCAACCAGAGTCAACGTTCTCCATAGTATGGACTTATTACAATGGATCCATTGCCTCCTACTCACACTTTCTCAGGTTAAGTTTTACAAACTGGTGGAGAAAAGATTTATCCACAAGGGGCGTAGGGGCTTCTTCTCAGTTAGAGCGGTTAGGGTCTGGAACTCGCTGCCACAAGCAGTGGTATCAGCTGAGAGTGTTGAATCATTCAAAAAGCATTTGGACAACTTCCTCAGAGACCGTAACATACAGGGGTACATGTACACTTAAAGACAAGGACACACGGGGACTCGTACACACGCATACACACGCAGAATCACATACATACACGCAATAGGTTGGACTTGATGGACCTGTGTCTTTATTCAACCTCAAATACTATGTAACAGGCCATGGCGGTGGTGGTGACAGATAAACGTCTCGGCACTTTCTGCAAGACAACCACCGATCTTCTGTTACCACCGAACATTCCGCTCATTGTGTCCTTTCTTCTCTTTCAGCTCACAAGATCGAGTTGGATGGCTAGCCATTTCCAGAAACATATAAGAGACATGGGGCTCAAAACTGTGCCAGGCCGGAAACGTTCCCAGGATTCTTTTCACCGGAGTCCGAATGTTCCAATAGAATATTTCCCTTTTTTTTTTTAAGGTTATACATATTAAAATCATGTCAAGATATAATATATCTTAAAAATGATATGCATATAAATGACTCTTGTTTTCCCACGGCCATGTTAAGTCTGTGGGCGGAGTGACGGTCCACATGCGGGTTTGGTTCTCCATCTTTACCTTTTATAGCCATAGATTACGTTGTCTCCCGGTTTTTACCTTTCCTGGGTCGAGGCCGGAAAGCACTCAACAGAGAATGTCCCTGATAGGCCATCAGCATTACATGTGAGCCTTTTTGTCTTGAAGCCATTGTTATGTTGGGCTGAATTCTCTGGTTACATGTGTGTATAATGTTTGTGGGGGTCCTGGTGGATTGGAGCGACGGGGGAGCAAATGGAATGTGAGTATAG